TGTCTTTCGAAGCAATAGACTGACCTGCATTGTGAATGAAGTACAGGGAGTTGAAGCTGTTGTTGTAAATGGGATTTTTTGGGAGCCTTAGTGGAGAGCAAGAATGAAAATTTAGTTTACTTGAGACCACAGAGCAAACATTTTGAGAAAGGAGATGTTTATGTAGTCTGTCTTACAAATCTTTCCTCAAGTATAACATATCGAGTATGTATTTTTAGTGTACATTTTATTGTTAAGAAAAGAAAGGGTTTGATGTGAATGCAGTGGTTTTGGTCTCTTGAGCTAAGGGAATGTCTCCTACTAGTGAATTATGCAGGTGATTTTAAAGCCTTTGTATGCTTTTTGCAAGCTTTAGTGAGAAACTGTTAAAATATTTTAAGGACTATTCTAACATTTAGCTATAGAAATTTCATCCTGCATTTAAGCTAGGCTGCTTTGCCATAACTGCTTTGTAGCTTTTGAAAGAAAAAATAATTTGTAACAGTTTTTTGAAGACTCTATTGGCTCCCTAAACACCTTGATACCAGCACCTAAATACATTTTGTGGTAACGCTCTAATATTTGAATCCCTTGTCCTGGAATCTGCTCGCACTACAATCAGATTCTTTCAGCTTGATGGGAAAATTGAGAATTTCATATCTGAAGTATAATGTGAACCTGGAAGCTGAAATATGTTCTGATTTAAAAGAATATTACATTACAGCTGCACTATGCACTATACACCTGCAATTATCTTGGTAGGTGCTCGAGCATCGGTACAAGGCCTAAAGCAAAGGACAGCTGAACCAGTATGTTTATATTTTCATCCAGGGCCTGTCAGTCATGGATCAGCCTAGAGAAATGGGAGCAAAGTCTGCAATCTGTTTTTCACCAAAAATTCCTTGTCCGTAGGCAAAAGCTAAGGCCCCATCTTTATATGTAAATTCAGTAGGAATTAGGCAACAGGATGACTTTTAAAAATGCCTACAGAAAACTGTTTTCTTCTTCTGTCTCTTAATCAGATGTTCTCTGAGAATACCAATAGGTATGCTGATCTTTCATCCAAGCTTAACTTTTATTTTTTCCTCCATAATCTTCCTTGTTTGCTCATTAACATCACAGAAGATACTTCGTTGTTGTATGTTGCGTAGCCATTTGTTAGGGAGAGTTAAAACATTGCATAGTCATTTGTTACAGAGAGTTAAAGTGTTGATTTTAATAGTAAGAAGTTGAACTCTGTCTGGATTATTAACTTTTTTCCCTAGTTAATCTTGGGTAAGAAGGCTGTTGTTTAAATGCAGTGGGCTGCGCCAGCAATAGGTGACTGTCATGAACTCATAGCCATAATAGAATTTCCAAGATATATAATGAATAACAGCAGAAATTTGGGTTGGGAATTAATAGCTATAATATATTTGCTGGTTGTGCTGCTTTGTCTTTGTTAGAGAACAGTGCCTAGGTATTTATTGCAGATACAAGTTGCCAAGTGGTAATTAAGTTATATTCTTCTGTGTGTAAAATCCTACACTTACGGGAGATGCATTGGACAGTGTGGGAGGCAGAGAGTGGAGCTTTTTAGCTACTTTAATCCATGTCAGTGCAAGCTCCTTGCCACCTGTTTTTCTGGGTGATGATGGTGACTTGCCTGTCTGTCTGCTGCTGCAGCACCTCTCTCCAGCCCCTCGAGGTGGGCACAAGCTCCAGCCCCACGTAGCATCTGGGCTCTGCATCGTGCCCTTCTTTACCTAAGCTTCCTTTGTTGCGATAAGTGATCCAAATGCGGACAGGTAGCAGTAGTTACCTGTGATTTCACATGATCATTTTGAGTCTAAGCAGTTGACTTCTTTTTGAGAGCTCTCTCTGTGTGGAAGCTACCAGGCAAGTGCTTGGTGTTAGCCGTGCAAGTGTCATGCTAGTGGCTCTAACTTAAAATAAATGTCGATGAGGTTAGCTTTGCACGTCTGAAATGAGGCTTCAGTTTAGGGATTTCAAGGAAGAGTTCTGAAGAAATAGTTTACCTTTCCTTGTTTTCAGAAAGAAGGCATTCACGTTCGCGTGTGCACACGTAGGTTCCCAAGAGCCGGCGCCAAAGTCATTAAATTTTATCCTTAGGCCTTTCCCCATCTTCAAAATGTGGCATGGCCCCGAGGTCTTGTTTAGCACTATAATAAAGCAGCCCCTAGAGATCCAGTGCCAGATGAAGATGCCTATGTGATGCAAATTCTGATTCAGTATAAATTCACACTTCCCACTCAATTTGCTGAAGTGTTTTGGCTCATTGCTTTCTAGCACCAGACTTGACGCTGGGTCATGTGTCACCCGTTCCTACCATCCTGACGTTGTGCAAAATTGGGTGCTCTCTGTTTCCTTGCAGCTGGCATCAAAGAATATATATTCTTGCAGCAGCTGGCATTATCCACGTATAAGGTCATGCAGCCAGTTTGGCACGTCCGATCCTATGTCCAGGAGAGGTGACCGAGTGGTTTGGACCTTCTGTCCTATTAGACTGGTGCACCGTTTTGGTTATTACTGACAGTTTATCATGCCAAGCATCTTGAGCTGGCTGCTAGCAAACCAGAAAAAACATCAAAGTTCAAGGTTTCTGATGCTCTCTTTACTACCACCAGAAAAGGCTGCAAATTGAATTAGACTGTTGGGTTTCACATTTAGGTGTGTGGGGCTGGCTGGTTGGTTTTGGGGGGAATTTTTGTGGAGCCAGCTTTTGGAGTTCTAGTGAGGCAGATGGTTAGAAATTTGGGGAGTAACAATGTGGAAGGAGTAAAGGATATTGTAAGGGGCTAAGTGAGACCTTTTCCTACAGAAATGCACCATTAGTGATATCACTCTTCTGTAATTTATTTTGTTGCAAATTCGCTAAATTGTTACTATAAGAAATCAACTTTCCTGGTTGACCAGAATTCACAACTATCTCAGAATTAAAAATGTGAATTACTACTTCTACCATCTCTAAAATTATTTAGTTGATCTGAATAAACTCTTCACAGAAGTTATTGACTGGTTCTATTTTTTTTTCCCCCCTTGGCGAGGACAAGTGTTTTGTCCTGGACTGTTATTTTAGCATACTTTCTTTTATCCTTTTCTAATGTCATTTTCCTATTTTCAGTATAATCTGAAGCTGTGTTCTGTTTTCTGTTCTTATTTTTAGATCTGTCGAATGTCTCTCTTTGAACAACCCTCTTTCTCCTCATTTATTACAAGAATACACACTGCATATTGCTGTGGTTTTTAGGAGAGGGCCATTTTTAAGGAAGATTTTTAGGGGAGGACCATGAAGAGACAGAGGAAGTAAATTAGACAAACTCTTTTGAGCTGTTTCTCTTCTTGCCCACCCCCTTGCCCAGCTGGAAAATACTTGCAGCGTTGTACACTGGACTCCATTTTCTGATGAGTAGTTCCTTTCTTGGCTTGCGTCATATATTGTTGGCATAAATTTGAATTTTATTCAAAAAAAGAGAGTCCCTTTTGCAATTGGAGACTCCCTTCAATTATTTTCTCTGTCAGTAGTGTCAAGCTGGTGGCATCTCTGGTCAGACTTGGAGGTCAAGCTAGCCAGACTTGGCGGATGTGTCTCATGAAAAAGCTCATCTGCACTGAGAAGCCCTTCAGTATCACTGTCTGCTTTCCAGTGTTCACACACACCCTCTAATGACAGTTTCCTAGGTCAGACCTGGGAGATGGTGTCTAGGGAGACCTGCTTCGGTTGTCCTCATGTTCTGGGAGGCTGAATGGCTTCTGCTCCCCGCAGGCCCCAAGACTGGTCCGGCAGCAGCGTGTGCCGCCTGCGCTGGCTGCTATTTTGGAGGCTAGGAGGAGCAGGGAGGGCTCCCTCGGGCCCTTCTCGAGTCGTGAGGGCCCTGGCAAGGGGTGTCCTCCCTCCCTAGCACAGGGCGCTGCCCGGGGGTCGCCTCCACACCGCACGGCCTGTGCTCTTTGAACAAACACTCTCCTGCCCTTCAGCCCATGTTTCCATGTTGGCGATTGCTCTGCGCCGCTCAACCATGTCCCTGGTTCCTCTAAGATGTAGATGATATTCTTAGAGTGTGTCAAGGTCTTACCAACTGAGACAGTAAAGAAAAATAAGGATTTTTGTGGAGCTTAACCAACCTGATCCCGAAATGGCCAAACAGAAGGAGGAAAAGGTGCTTCTGTAGCTTGAGAGAGGGATCCTTCTGGAGTTTTGAAGGCCCCCTGCATGTAGTGGATCTGTTTGAACTTGTTAAAGTAGTTAATACTCTTACATATAGTGACATTTGATAGGACATTAAAATTTAGGGCCTTCCTGTGATTTACCATTCAACATCGTGTTGCTAGAGCAAGCTCTACAGCTAGAGGTTATGCAGGTTAACCTGCAGGTAAGAGCCAACTGCAGTCACACAAATACAAAGGGAAGGCTTGCGTATCACTCCTACCTTACCTGTGTCTCTTACGTAACCAGAGTCTTCCTCTCGCTTTTCAGCCATAAATTCAAGATGCACAGCAAGCCAAAGGTGTGTGAGCTCTGGGCAGCCAGACCTTCGGCTGCTGTTGGAAAGAAGCTCCAATACCTCTGGCATGTGCTGTAGATCAATGGAGGGAAGCAAGTATGAGCACTTGTGACCTTGGCTTGCCATCTGACTGAGGAAGGATGAGGAATAAAGCTAGCCCCCCACACTTAGAATATTTGATCACGTTTCCTAGCAGTCACTGTTATTAAGAGAGGCTCATCAGTGTGTTTGCCATCTAACAGATGCCTTTAGGTCTTTCTGAGTGTGGGGATGGAAGGTTTTGAAGCTATTGCTCTGGCCTAAGCATATTAAAATAGAATTGTTCCTACCCTGTCTTTAAGAAATATAATTTGAGAAATCTGTACCTTTTCTTGGGATAGTTTTTCACTGAAACTTATTTAAAGAGAAATGTCAAAACTAAATACAGTACAATCCAATGCACGCACGGGAAGAAAATATCCTCGAATCGACCGTTGTCGTCTCTCTTGGCAGCATCTGGGAAGCCTGTGTGATGAGCAGGAGCGGTGACTGCCTCGTAGCTCCCGAGTGTTGAGCTGTTGCTGGATCGCTTGCTGACCCTTCCCTTCACATGATTTCTTCTGGGATCAAATAGAGTGCTGCCGCACCGAGCGTTTTCCAGAGAGCCGAGGCCCAAACTGGAGACAGACTTATCTTAGATTGACGACTAGATTGATGGTAAGCAGCGCGGAAGGTTCAAGCCCCATGCTAGCATGAAATCATTTGACAGATAGAAATATTTGCTTATAAATTGAAAGAGTAGGTAATAATAGTGTTTTTTATGATTACATTACATGATATTTTATGATTACACAGACTAATAGCTAGCAGATGGCAGAGTATACATTTTGCTTGTTTACCAAGATGATGGATGGCAGTGATTGAAAAAGATTTTTTTTTTCCCTCTTGTTACATTACTCTGAAAGCTTGTAGTGGACAGGCAATTTACAATATGAGTCAACAATAATTTGTATCTGCTCTGGATTTTTGGGGGACATCAGTTATTCTGCTTCTTATTTTATTGGAATTTTTCTTCTTTCAAAGATATTTTCTTTTCAGAGGAAAAATAAAAGTAAATATATGCTGTGCATAGAATGTGTGTGAAACATCAGGCCTTTAAAAGATGACATGAGTAGTGCCTGACAGTCCATGTACACAAATAATATCTGTTTGTACAAAAATATCTGTTTGGAGGTTTTTTTACCAATGTTCTATTTCAATGTTTATCATATTACTTAAGCATTTTAAAGAAAAGAGATAGGCTCTGTCTTTTGTTTAGGCACCTCAGCACAAATCTATGCTGTTACGCTGCATATTACCAAGATAGTTAAAGCTATCCAGCCACAATAATAATTGCAATGTTTTTCATCCCTCTTATTTAATTGGTATCGACTGACTGAAGTTATCTGTGTGTGTTGTACACAGCTGCTGTTTAAGTGCTGTTTGTTTGGAAATATCACTCAGGTAGCAAGATTAATAAAAACTCGTTTTCCTCTGGGTTCATTCCCTATCTCTTGTAGTGTCCAGTGGCAGATGCCCAACTCCCTGCCAGGTCCCTAAAGCCTGCAGTTTCCTCAGTGGTTTTGTTGGCCAGATGATGGTTTAGATGGATAGTACCTGGGTTGCTGTCTCCAGGTGAATATAGGAATAAAGCTATGGTTACTTTACCCTCAAGAACTGCTGTGCTTAGTCTTATTTTCCTTTGCAACCTCTGACTTCAGGAAACTCTTATCGGAGACATCCAGCATTTTATCAAATCCAATAGAAGTTGCCCAACAGATTCAAATGATATTATGTGAAGGCTAAACACAGAATCATAACATTAGTTTCCTTAAAAAAAAAAAAAAAAAAAAAAAAAAAAAAAGCTAAAACCATCAGATGGCAGCAGGTTGTCTTCTCTTTTAAAGAACACAATAAGACTGTGGAAATTGGTTCCTTCTAGTGAAAGGGGGAGGGAAATTATCACCCAAATTATCGTGACTGGACATCTTAGAACATAATCAGAGATATAAAAAAGAAATCCATATAAGATTTGCCTTCCCTCCAAAGGATGGCACGTAATGTATGCATCCAATTTCTAATTAAAATACTGAGTCTATTTAAAACTGTGGCTAAACAGCCCTTTGTGTTTTTGTATATGTAGTAAGGTCTGAGTGATTTTTTTTTTACATAGTTGCTAGCAGGCAGCCTTAGTGAGCTTGTAGTGTGCTCATAGTCCCCAAACCCAAGGCACCATTTTTTCTATTTTATTTATATATTTTATATATATATATATTTATAAATGTCCTAAATTTTTTTAATATATATAATAAAAAAAAGTCCTACATTTTCTCTTTTTCACTGCTGGTTTCAGATTCAACTGGCAAACACACATGCCAACAATTCCTGCCTTGCTCAGCTTTCTTCCTTTGACTAAATCTTCTATTTATTGTTCTCTGCAAGTTTTGGACCTCTGTGATAATACGATACTTTCCAGCTTTTGTCTAAAGATAAAATAATTCCTAGCTTTGGCTATGAAGAACAGAATAAGAAATAAGCAGCAGAAGTTTAACTGCCAAGAGCTCAACAAAAATCTCCGAAACACCCCCAAAATCTCCATTTTTACAGGGAAACCTCTGTTGAGTTTTGTACTTGACTCGTCATTGCTGAGTGCTTGAGGCTGGCTGTGGTGGAAGAGAACAGCAGGAGTAGACAGAAGGAGTGAAGAGCCACGTTGTGCCGCCTGCCTCCAATTTTCATAGTTCTCTTACTGGGAGAAAGTAAATACTTCAGCAAAAAAAGGGCAGTTGCATCGTAATTCACGGCACAGCGCTAACTGGATTTAGGAAGAGGAACAACTTTGGGATGAGTGCTGTAATTGCATGTGCCATTCAGGTGTCTGTGTGTGTGCCCGTGCCTCTGTTGGCACAGGGGCTCTGGTGCCTGGGTGCCCTTCCAGGCCAGGGAGCCAACTCAAATTTAAATGAACCTGGCAAAACTGAACATTTAGGTGAAGTGAGCAGTGGTAACAGGTCAGCATCTGGTTGCATGGAGTCCAGGATGGGCAAGGAGGGTGGATGCTCTTGCTTTTCCAAGGCTCGTGCTTTGCAGCGCTGCGGGGCCGGGTGGTGCCCGCGCGCAGGCAGCAATGGGTCCGCGTGCTCCTGAAGCAGCAAGTGGCACAGGGCAGGCGTGCGTGTGCCCTTGGCCTGCAAACCCCAGAGCTTCACCGGCCTAAGCGAGGGATAAACCAGGCTGGCGTCTTAGTTAACCAGTATGTAAAGCATACATGAGCTGTAAATAATGGTCTGTGTCCTGGATTTTGTTCAGCTTTTTTGTTTTCAGCATTCGTTCTTAATTATGCATATACTCTGAGGCTTCCTGGATCTCCTTTGTAAAATGATGCAGCAGCAATTTTAAGTAGGTGCTTTCTTAAAGTGTGTGCATGTCTAACAAAATAATGAATAGATATAGTTTTAAAAATTAGGAGAAGCTTTGCAGTAGTAAGAGCCTCTTTTTTTCTTGTCACTCTTGTTTTTGATAGTCTCCTCATACAGGGGAGAAAAAAAAAAGACTGTCTTGTTTATGTGTATCAGCATTAGATCTTCATAATTTTGCATCACTGTGATCAATTCTGTTCTTACCCTGCATATAACTATCACATAGGTCGCTTGGAAGCCCTTGTAAGAGCATAGTACTGCTATTAAATCTCAGCACTGTTTCTAAGTAGGAAATTGATATGTGCTGAGTAACAAATGTTTAGATTGTGCATCATAAATGCCTCAATCTACTGCAGCCTTTTTCCAGTTAATAGAAAAAATAGTATGAATATGATCAAATTTTGAAACATCTCTATTTTGAGACTGTAATGTAAGCTAACCATGAACTGTTGTATCTAATTTTCTGGATACTTAGTGAAGTGATATTTAGGGATTCGGAACTGATTTCTAAAACCACCACCAGTTTTATTATTGTTTCTTGTATCAGCTGGCTTGTTTTAGCTTGCAGCCAAAACAAAGCTGAAGATGTATAAAATATTGTTTGCACTATTCTATCAATATTTTTATCTGTTTCATCAGACTCCTTCCTAACTGATCCAGGCTGATCACTCTGCAAAGATGCAAAATTGCTGCTTCATGAAGGCAACTTCAGCAATGTTAGCGGGAAAAAATGGCTGCATGGAAGAAGCCCATGATCTCTCTTCAGAATACAAATTGTATTTACTGCCTTGCATGTGATAGGGTCCAAGTCCTGTATTTTTAGAGTAACTGATTTACAGGCAATTCTGTTTTCTGACTGTCATCCATTCTATTGTGTCTTAGTTCAAACAAACAGACAAACAAAAAAAACCTGAGTGTAATAGCTGGGCTATATGGGTGCTGTCAGGCTTTATGTGCAGGAAGGTAGAGAAAAAAATAAGAGGAAATGTAGTTCATGTCTCTAGGATGTATATTTGTAGTTCCAAAAAGACTGTGGTATAAAAATTTCTGGGATATTGTAGAGGGCTTTTTGTTCCCAAAATTAAACTTGAGTATTTATAATTCATGTTAGTAGGTTTTCCATATTGAATTTTTAATGTGTATGTTCTTAAAGGGGGAAAAAAAACCCATAAGGATATAGCATTAGAATTGTACAAATAAGACTCAATCCTATGCTTTTCTATATTTAAGAAAATATGTGAAAATTTATTGTAGACTGTGCTGCCAGAGCATTCGAGAAAGAGAAGAAAAATTGTGCTTTACTCTTCCTGACTGCCATCCTTGCTTAAAAAAAAAAAAAAAAAAAAAAAAAAAAAGTGTGGCTTGGCTTGGCCCTTTCTTTACTTATTTTTGTGAAGAAGGTAAACTTAATGCCCCTGAGTTAATAGATGACCGTATCTGAGATAGAATGGAGCTGGTTTAACCAAGGTCACGCACAGCAGTCCTGCTGCAGGCTTCCAGCTCCAAAAAAAGACTTGTTCTGTCCACTTAGTTTTCTCCCTGTCCTATGAAAAGCTGTTTGAAAAAATCAAATAATACCGTTTTTTTCTGAGAAGGCGAAAAAAAAAAACCTCATAGATACTGATTTGCAGAACTATTCCAAAATGTAAAATAACCACTTGTATCTTGTAAAATCAGCCTGTCACTTACAGCAAAGATTTCACCACTTCCATCTGATTTTAACTCCCTACCACAAGGTCCTTGTTTGTTTGTTTGTTTGTTTGTTTCTCACATCCATGAAATGAAGAACTGTTTTGGTTTAGATCAGTTGCACTGTCTTAAGGAAGCTTGAGGGAGATTTGGAAATATATCCACTGTATCTCTTGTGTAAATTAGGTTTTTGATCGTTTTGATGAGGGATAATTGCTTAAACATGACAGTTAATTTGTGTTTCATGTTCCAGTGTAGAGGCTTCAGAGAAAGTGTGTTAAACTGTATATAGCTGATTTTAGTTCAGATTTTCTTGACTTGAAACCAGAAGCATTTTTATCTCCTCTTTAACTACAGCACTTCACGTACTTTGGTAGCTTGCTAATACAGCCAATCTATATAGAATAAAACCTCTTCTTTTTAATATTCTTTAGTTTAGAAGTTGTTGGCAGTGACCGTGTCTGTGTTATAACAATACTGCTGGTTTGGGGAAATGTGTTTTTAGTGACTGAGCCTCAATATGTGTAGGGTCAGGACATGAGTTGAAGTTGCTGTTCTTGAGCAGTGGAGAGGGGGGGGAATAAAAGAAAATCTGTTTTCTATCAATAGTCTAAAGATCCATTTGGTTACAGGGCATGCATTTTTAACATTTTCTTATCTCTCTTATCTGGTGTATTCAACTGATGCAGTGTGTGATTAGTAGAAGCAAATACGTTTAGAGTTCGTAATAAAAAAGAGCATAGTAATTCATCTCCGAATAATACGCATCCCCTGGCTCTGAAATGCCGAGGGAATGGCTAAATAACAGCAGAGAGGTTCGGACGTGAAAGATCAGAGCTCGGCCCTCGCCGCTGGCATTGGACAAGCTCGTCCTTTGCGGCTTGCCGCGGGTGCCGGGCGAGCCGGGGCATTTGTGGTAGGAGGACGTCGTGGACGAGCACAGCCTGCTGCAGCACCCTGTGGGTTTAAGAGGGAATTTTCAAGTCACATTGCTGATTTTCACTTGATTTGGTGCTTTTAGGAGCCGAGGTACCTCATCATCCCCACGGCAGAAGTTTCCGCGATGGTACTGGGGCCTCCAGTACTCCACAAAAGCATTGCGGGCCAGATGCAGCCCGGAAAGAGAAACGCTCTTTCCCATGTGGCACTTTTGAGGAAAGCGGCCTTGGCAAGAAAACATGTGAAACACAACATCCCCCTGTGCCCCTTGCATCTTTGAAGTAGCAGCACGCGGTGGAGCTGCTGGAGGGCAAGTGTGCCAGGCTTGAGAAGCAGCAGGGGTTTCAGGCTGGTTGTTTCATGTTCGTGGCTTCTCCGTCACGCTGCAGTCTGTAGCTCGCCCCGTGAGCGCGGTAGGGCAGCGATTCCACGGAGCCCCTGGCTCCGGGAGGCGCTCGGAGCCGCGGGGACATGGAGCGCTCTGATCCCTCTCCCTGCGAGCGCCCGGCGTGGCGGTGTCGGCCGTGTGGCGCGGAGCACGCCAGCGTGCAGGAGCACGCAGGGTTTCACGTGGCCGCGCTGGTTTGTGCCAGCTCCTCTTCTTGGGAATGGACATCTTAGTAACGATATAATAGTGTCGTAGAATACTGCAGAAAGCTTAAACAGGGCGTAGAGTTTAATGTTAATTTATTTGATTGCTGGCAGAGATGTTCAACTGCTTTGCTACCTCTGCTTCTCATCCCGAATAAAAATATTCTCCTGTAGTTGTCGTTTTGGGTTACCAGCCTGAAAATGGTGTGCAAATGTCAGAGTGGTGCTGTATATTAAAATATATTATTAGCCGTCTCAGTACCTTAGCATGATATATCTGAAGTAGGGTTTTTAAAGGCAAACATACATCTTCCTGAGAGACAGATTTTTTGTAAATCTGTCTCCATTTACTCTCATTAGTATTAAATCAGTTCAATTGATAACAAATGTCAGACAGTAATGTTTCCAGTTAAACAGACCATCTGCCTGTTTCATAATATGAACATTTATGCTTACAATCAGTACACTTCAGCTGTGTCTGAAGTGGCAGGTAGCAATGTCTGTTGTTTGGGGTCTCGGAGCATGGTATGTATATTTGAACTGTAACTAGTTGCATGCTTTCTTGCAATTGCAGTTAAGGGAGATTTCCTTCCACAAGGATCCCTCATCTCCTTTTAAAACATTCTTTCTCTTAGTCTTCATTTTACTTCTCTATGACTGTTTATAATTTCTGCTAGTTTATATATATGTATGTGTGCGTGTGTGTGTATACACTTTTTTCAAGCTGGTAAGTCTTCCCTAACCCTGCAGTAGTGGAATTTGTGGACACTGGTTGTCTATTATTTGAAGTAATAGTCTGAACAGAATCATGTTGCTGCTGTTTACTGCATTATTTTTATGTTTCAAGCAATTTCTTAAACACAAATGCTAAACAAACCAAAAGAACACACATATCTTTGAAATCCTTCTAGAAATTTAAAAGGAGGTCCAGTTAGAGTTTTCAGGTTTGTGATATAGATATATAGAAAAAAAAAATAATGTGAGGTGGACCCCATGTGTTGCAGGCCGTGGTGGCCTCCAGCCCCACCGTGTGGGTGACACGGCATCGCTGCAGACCAGGGCTCAAGGCAGCCCCCGTGGTTAAGACTAACCCAGGCAGTGGTGCCTTTACACAAGTTATGTGCTTTTGCAGAGATCTCTTGCTCAGAAAATTGGCCTTGCCTAAGAATGTTTTATTGGGGCGGTTCTCTTGAACTCCCCAGTTACTGGAGCTCACTGGGTCGACAGGGAGGTATCGTCGTCTCTTCTGGTTTTCCTCCATCGCTTTCCATTGGAGATGAGACTTCAGTGGTGTCTGTGATGAGGCCAGTATTAGAGTGCCAAACTAGAAAACATTAATACATCTTAATCACTAAGGAACACCGTGTAACTAAGAAGAGTGAAAGATGATCAGTGAAAAGAGACTAGGTGTTGCACCCCCTCTGTCTTGCAGATGCCTTTGTATTTGAATTGAAAAGGTTAGTTAAACACTGCATTTGCAAGGGGTAGAGAGATGATTGACTGACTTACAGCTAATGATACATGAACCAATATGTAATTTCTTAGACTTTTTACAAGCAGTGGACTATCACCTTGTTGGTTTGAGGATGAAGACTAAGAGAATAACTGAGCCATTCTTCTAATTTCTCAAGACCAATTGAATTTCTTTCTGTACAATTGAAGGAATATTTGAAGAAACCTTTGTTTTATTGCAGGGTCGTAGTCAGGGTGCCCGTATTTTTTTAAACAACAACAACAAAAATGTTTAGAACAAAGCCTTGTTCTGACGTAGCAGAGATGGTTTGTGTATAAAAGAGGAACAATTTGTGGATTCATCAAATTGAGACTTTAACTAGAGAAGACTCATCAGTGAGACAAGGGGAAAAAAAAGTGAAAATGTTACTTGACATTGCTTAGTATCTTGATGGTACAATGTTAAATACTGAGGGTGTAACTTATGTGCAAGGAAAAAACTGCAGAAGCTTTTGAGACGGTGGAATTGTTACAATATAATATAAAATGCTTTAAATCATTGTGATGCATTATATGCATATCATGATAGAACACTTGGACAAAAATATATTAGCATGTTGTTTCTAAGTGCTCTGTAGTTATGTGCATGTGATATGTCACTGTAATCTAAAACACTTTAATCTTTCTTTATTCTTTAACCTCATGTTACTATTTTCTTCTTATTCCCACTTTGCTCATCTCAGTGATAAAAATGCAGCATCTGATACCTCATTCTCTTATGTGTTTTGAAATCTGAAGGTTTGGAAAGTGGATGCAAGAATTCTCAAATTTGCTGGTCTAACTAATCCGTGAAAAATCTGTGAGGCTGGAGAGGGCTATCCTATCGTCAGATCTAAACAATATAATGATATCAAAGGTACATACCATAAGTTGATGTATTATGAGTTTTAAAAAGCTTAGGACCTAGTTCTGTTCTCCAGACTCACTGGAGTTAAGTATCTGTCGATGTTCAACCACTATTTTAGTGGTTAAAAATACCCTAATTAAGAGCTTTTTTGTAAACAGAGCAATATTGTCTTGTTACTGTAAGTTGACAGTGTTTTATTTTGTTACTAACCATTTTTATTACAAAAGTGTTTTTTATGATGACAATTTCTGCAGGTAATGAACATATTCCGTGAAACCTGTAGTTTGGCAGAAGCAAGAGAATCTAAAATAAAATCTAAAGTTTGGTGTGTATATATCGAGTTGCTCATTACTCAAAGATGCTTACTGCATAGTTTTCAATTTGGTTGATTCTTTAAATGTACAGCACCAATTATAGCTGATATGTGCTGACATGTGGTATTTTCACTTTACAATTCTCTCTAGTTAAATAATTTAAATACATGGGTAAAGGTACCCAACACCCGCAGTGAGCCTGCCTACCTGCTGCTTTGCTTTGTAAGAACTGGCTTAGGCTGTTCGTTAATAAAAGTTTTAAATACCGTATCTGTAAAAGGCCTGGTATAAAAGCCTCCAACTAAGGAACATTTTTTTTCTTATGATCTATTTGATAGCGAAAGGAAAGAGGATACTTAGTGCTAGGCTTACTTGGTCTTTTCCAAAGCTCTTGGGAAAAAATATACTTGAGATTGA